CTCCTGTCCCAGCCTGAGGAACAGACAGTGAGCCTGTCTCTCAATAATAATAATACAGTGTGTGATCTCCTGTCCCAGCCTGAGGAACAGACAGTGAGCCCGTCTCTCAATAATAATAATACAGTGTGTGACCTCCTGTCCCAGCCTGAGGAACAGACAGTGAGCCCGTCTCTCAATAATAATAATACAGTGTGTGACCTCCTGTCCCAGCCTGAGGAACAGTGAGCCTGTCTCTCAATAATAATAATACAGTGTGTGATCTCCTGTCCCAGCCTGAGGAACAGACAGTGAGCCTGTCTCATAATGATAATAATACAGTGTGCGATCTCCTGTCCCAGCCTGAGGAACAGGCAGTTCTGAATGTCCCATGTTTGCATTGTAAACTAGGCGACACAGAGGTCAGCATTGCTGCCTCATAGCACTGGAGCTGTGGGTTCGATTTCTAGGTTGCTGTCTGTGTGGAGTCTGTACGTCCTCCCCGCATTTGTCCCCTCACCGTCCCCACTCCTGCTGGTGGGTTAACTGGCTTCTGGGACGACTGGCCCTGATGTGAGTGCGTGTCTGTGTCTGTGTCTGTGCGTGCGTGCCCTGTGGCGGACTGACGTCCCGTCCAGGGTGTACCCCGCCTCGCGCCCATTGCCTGCTGGGACGGGCTCCGCCCCCCTCCGTGACCCCGCCCTGGACAAACCGGAGGGAAAATGGACGGACGCGCTGCGCGTCAACTGTACTGCGCCGTCACTCACGCGTCACGCCAGTACAGCTCTGGGACGCCTGCAGACGTCGGGGACGGCGACACTCACGGTGTTGTAGAGGGCCGCCGCGCGGTTGACGTACAGGCTCCCCAGCAGCTCGGCCGCGATGCTCAGGTTCTCGGCCCGCGCGTAGTCGGCCACGCCCAGCCCCTCGGTGTAGTGCACCACCGCCTGCCTCAGGTCGCCCTCCCGGTACACCGCGTTGCCCTCGTCCAGCAGGTTGCACACCAGCTGGGTCAGGAAGGCCTGGGGGGGGAGAGGGGGGTCACGCCGGCGCCAAGAACGTTCTTCCACGAGCCCGGGGGCGAGGGAGGCCACGGCACAGGAGAGGTTCGGAAAGGGGTTCCCCAGAACAAGGGATGGAGACTCCTGATTTGGGGGTGACCTGTAAGAGTAACTGGACTGGGGCTCTCCAGTCTGGAGACGCCGGAGCCCTGATTTACAGAGTACTATTACACTAACTGGACTGGGGCTCCCCAGGATGAAAACTGGAGACCTCTGATGTAGGGTGACCTATGAGACTAACTGGACTGGGGCTCCCCAGGACCAGGGTCCAGACCTCTGCTGCAACGTGCTGTCAGGTCACCACGGATCTGACAGGGGAGGATTTCACCGACAGGAGGGGCTCAGGCTCGGCACGGCCTGCTGCGGTTTCACAGCGGTATCACAGAGGCCGCGGGGTCTGAGCGCAGGGGACAGAGACGCTGGACACACACAGGCCGGGCCGCGGGGTCTGAGCGCAGGGGACAGAGACGCTGGACACACA